TAATAACCTCCTTAAATGAAGCTCTAGCTATTTGTATTTCTATTTCTAACTGTACTTGTATATTGGACAGCTTACCGTGTACGTTCCTTGTTTATATTTATTGTTTGTGTTTGATAAGGGCGCCTACAACCCCATCCGTTTACAGTCTGCTTTATTGTCCAACGAATCCATTTGAAACCAGTCAAGGGTTCGGACCAGTCAAGGGTTCGGACCAGTCGATCTGATCTGATCAGTGGGTCACTTATTTAAAACATACTGGTCGGTGATTTGGGCTAACACATGAAGGATCTACTGGAAATTATCTACCTGAGTAATATGTGATTTGATTGATACAAAAGTATAACTTGCATGTTGAAGAAACCAGTGATTTCAGGCAGCTTCTACAATGACGAACGGTCGAGCCTCAACCCTTGTTTATCAGTCGCTGTATCTAGCTTTTCTAGTTTTTTTTCGTCTCCACCACAATAAATGCTATATTATCACTATAGTTGACTGGTGGAAATTTTGTAGGAAGGACGCTTTTTCTGTAGTAATAATTGCTTCTTGTTGTGTATATTGCAACCGCTGGTAACTACAGGTTATATGAAATTCACAGTATACGTCTGGTATTTCAAGAAAAAAGAAACTAATGAAAGTCACTCCACTCCACTAAGTACCATTATAATACTGGTTAGTTGCTACTACAGCACTGTATTCTGCTATTCACTGGTATCACTAGATTATATGCGAGTACACTAGCAGGCCAGGAAGATTATTAAAACAGCTGACCACTGTGGTAAGATTCTGGCGACTTCTGGCACCTGCCTCTATAGGCTTATCACTTCATTTACAAATTCACCTGTTTTCAAATGACACTTTAGCCTTTATCATCTATATACTAGGGAGCCACTGTAGTATACACTATACATTATGTATACACAATGTTATCAGGGAGACTTTCTTTCCTCTGACAAAGAAAAGTTCTATTATTATTATTTTGCACACAGAACACAGGCCTATGATTCCCCTCTGGCAGTAAACTCTGCTAGGTAGTGCACACTAATTCTCCTTTTTTGACTCAGTATATAATGTTTTCCGCCCAAGATTGGTTCCAGGCGCTAGAGGGATGTATCATATAGGATTGATGGCACAAATTAAAGTTCTAGCACATAAGAGCGACCGTGAAAACACGAGAAAACCCGGAGCACAACGAGGCACGCTGACACGCTGGATAGCGTGGAAGATGTGGAAAAGTTGTTGTTGTTGTGGATCAGCGAAAAACAGTTAGCAGGAGATAGTTTTTCAGAGACAATCATTTGTGAAAATGCCTGGAACTAGTGCTGATGTTAGTGAATTTAAGGCCAACAGAGGCTGGTTTGACAGATTTAATAGTCCCCCTTCTAAACAATAACCTCTCCTCCTCCCTCTCCTCTCCTCCCTGTTTTGCATATGCCAACAAGAGTCTTCAAAACAGGTATGTAATAATGGTTTAAATATTCATTTATATGTAATTGTCATTGTTTTGTGTATGTAAAACTATAGTTAAACTTTACAAAATGTATTTTCTTTTTATTATTATTATTTTTGTGTGTTTGGAACGGATTAATTGTATTTACATTAATTCTTATGGGAAATATTGCTTCGAATTTAGGCCTTTTTGGATTTAGGCCAACCCTCTGGAACGGATTACAGCCGACATTCGGGGTTCCCTGTACTTTAAATTTTTCAGTGAAGTTGTATCATAGATGCTTCCAGTATTTAGTTAGTTAATCTATTGCATATATCTAACTACTGTAGTTCCACTAGAGTTTTGACCTATTTCTTTACTAATATAAATATTTCCATCTCCATGGGGAAGTGGAACAGAATTCTTCCTCCGTAAGTCATGTATGTCATAAGAGGCAACTGAAATGCTGGGAGCAAGGGGCTAGTAACCCCTTCTCCTGTATACACTACTAAAGTTAAAAAGAGATACTTTTTTTTTCTTTTAGGGCCACCCTACTTTGGTGAGATAAGGCCGGTTTGTTGAAAGAAGAAAAAGAATATTTCCACTGAGTTCATTGTAATGGGTTCTTAAATTTAAGTATTTCTAGACCTTATTCATATTCCTTTAATTACACTTTCTTTTAGGTTTATATTGCTCAAGGGATGAGAAGCAGCCTGTAAGTCTGTTTTAACCCGTTAACTGTCCAAACATAGATCTACGTTCTTACCGCTAGTGCTCCAAACGTAGATCTACGTTTTATTTTCCCTGCCTCCAAATTTGGCACGATTGGCCTAACATGCCTGGTCGGCATAGAATGGGTCTTAACTCTCGGTGTGTGCACTATTAACCCTTAAACTGTCCAAACGTAGATCTACGTTTACGTGCGTAGCACTCCAACCTTGATTTTCTCCATTTGAAAGCATGTAAAAAATGTAGCTCTACATTCAGAGGGCTACGTGAGCGAACATAGATCTACATTTGGACAGTTTAACCCTTTCAGGGTTGGCAGACCCTCTCCTAAACTAGTTCTCAGGGTCAGAAATTTTTCAAAAAAAAAAAAAAAATTATTTTTTCTTATGAAATGATAGAGAATCTTTTCCTGATTATAATGACACTAAAAGTATGAAATTTGATGGAAAACTTACAGAATTATGCTCTCGCAAAGTTAGTGGTCTTGATGATACTTATGCATTGGCGATTTTGCCTACTTTGAGCCCTATTTTCGGCCAATTCCAATGTACCATTCGACAAAAATCATACTTATTTCTCTAGAACTCCATTTTTTCTATTGAATGAGTACAAAAAAAACACCCATTTACCAATTTCAACTATCCAATAAAGTGGTCAGAAATTGGCAATTTTGCCAATTTCACACAAATTTCAAAAGATGCCAGTTTCCAAATAGGGTCCAGAATAAACAAGACAGACATTCCTGGCACTAAAATAACATTTCCTCTGTTCATTAGTCATGTCCCCAGGCCTCTGTTACATTTCTTTTGCTTTTCACTTTGAATTTTTATTTTCGCAAAAAATAGAAGATTTAGTTATGCAGACTACTGCATTAGTGTATAAATGGTGTAGAAATGGTATAAATAATATCAGTGCACTTGTGAAAGAATATTAGACTCACCAGTTGACGTGTATTGGACGTATGGCATGATTTGTTTACCTTTGAGCTTTGGCAAAAATTGAACATTTCTGCTACTTTGAGCTCAATTTCAAGGTACTTTTCATTGTGAAACCCATCAAAATCATCTTAATTTCTGTAATATGTCTTCCATTCTATAAAATGAGACCAGGAAAACTAGGATACACCCATAAACAGCATACAAAAATACACTGCAAAGTTGCTATTTTAAACCAAAAACACGGTCGGAGTTTTTTTTCTTATTATGCACTGTGTGCTGCAGGATTTTTTTTATACTGCGCACACTGACCACATAGACCCATTCTTTCATGTGTAGGCCTACCAGCTTTCTCGCGCTAGATTTCAAGGCGCTAGAATTTATGTGTACTAGTACGGCACCAACCCTGGCGTGCAAGCCATACTAGTACGGCACCAACCCTGAAAGGGTTAAGGGTTAAAAAAATCTAGGACTATTTAATACCTTATGGGAGCACCAGCTCAATTGAGTGCCAGTTAGAGCAAACAATGTGACAAACACCAAGGATTATCTGATGTCATGTTGTTTTAACACTCCCTTATCAAGAGGAAAGTGTCATCCTGCTAGAATGTCCTTTAACCTATGCCCTAAGTAAGAAGAAACAATTCTGGAACTGTAATTTCGGCAGGCTGGCTGGTCAGCTGGCTAGCTGGTGGCTGGCCGGCCACCTGGCTGGCTGGCCTCTTGGCTGGCCAGCAGCTGGCTGGCTGGTGGCTGGCTGGCCTGGGTGGCCACCTGGCCAAACAGGAGGCCATCTGTCTTTCTGTATCTCTGTCTATCTCTTTGTCTCTGTCTGTCTCTAACAGGAACACATACGTAAATACAATTATACATAGTTTAAATTACCTAGGATAAGCCAAAAAATCCATGCAAATTGCTGTACTGTGCTTGTGGATAGTGATCTTTTGTAATATCAGTTGGTTCATGAGCAACTCTCTGAGACAAGAGAGACAAGCAGACAGAAACACACAGACAGAAAGCTAGAAAGACAGATGGACAGAGCTAGATAGGCAGAAAGCTAGACAGACAGACATGTTTATGTGAAACAATGAAAACAAATAAAGGAAGTCTCATCAAATGTCACCACTGTCATTAGTGGAGTGATAAGATAAGACCACGCTCATCAAGTGTCACTATTATCAGCAGTGAAGTGATAAGATAAGACGAGTGACACACTCTTAAATGATGCTTCAAGGGGACTTATTATTATTATATACTCCTGTATCCAAAACATTGCTGGGACCTGTAAATACTATGTATATATTTCTAGACAATAGTATGTGACTAAGGTAGGTGAAAATGTTCACCTGTCACTGTGTTTGTGACAATTTGAGTACTATTTCAGTACCTAATATTAGTGTCAGAACAAAGATTGGCTATCAAATCACAAGAACTACTATAAATAGTAATTATCAGAACATAAAAATTATATAAAATGATATGAAAACGAGAAAAAACGGTATATCGACAACACTTCTGCAAGCGGCAGGACTCCATGTTGTCGTCAGATGAGCATCAAGGGCCACCTTCACAGGCTCATATCTTGGTGAGTACTAACCCTAAATTTTTTTTTATCCATTGTCATGTAGAAAAATGTGATCTTTTTCTATAATTTTTTTTTTTTTTTTCAAAATATTCGGAGCACTGGGCGAGAGAATGTAGATCTGTGTTTGGACAGTTAACTGGTTAACTACATTTCTTTACTGAGCCACTTGAAGATGGCAGTTTTATATCTAGAATATCCATCAAGAATTAATAACAAACACTTATCCAGTACTCATAAATGAACAAAGCACTAGCTATTAAAAATAAGAGATGCTCATTGTATGTATGTATAGAATTGCTTTACTTTTACCTCTGATGTACCTCAGGTAGCAGTGAGTGGTGGAGCGCTCATAGCGGCACCTTTAACTATAATCTACAGAAGAAGAAGGGAAGAGAAAATCCTTTCAAGTTGAAGCTAGAAGCATCCAAGTGGAACAGCAACAGACAGAAATACAAGTTCTTTGTACAAAAGACACATCTTGAAGTAAATTATCTGAGATATGGCAAAGGTTTCTTGCACAGTAATCCTCTTCTTAACAATACAATTGTATTCCAGAAAAGAGTATTGATAAATAAAATTACACTACTGTTAGTGATACACTTTTTCATAGACTTCCATGGTAGTCAGAGATCATTCATTGGAAAAATCCAGTACAGTATACTTTTTAAATTAAAAACATTTTTTTTATTGAAATATCAGATACACACCAAAATGTGTTTAACCCTTTCACTGTCAAGATCCCTGCTCACAAACTTGCTCTCAGTGTCGAAGAATCTTCAAAAAAAAAAATTTCATATGAAATGATAATTTTTTCCTGGTGGTAATGAAACCAAGAGTACGAAATTTGATGAAAAACTAATGGAATTACACTCTCTCTAAGTTAGCGGTCTCGGCGATATTTATGCATTAGCAATTTTGTTCACTTAAAGCCCTATTTTGGGCCAATTCCATTGTTCCACTTGACTATTTTCATAGCAATTTTGCTAGCACTCCTTTTGTTCTATCGATTGAGTACAAAAAAAACACCCATTTATCTGTTTCAACTACCCAATAAAGTGATTAGAAATTGATAATTTGGCCAATTTCATACAAAATTCAAGGAAGATAAATTTCAAAATAGGGTCCAGAATAAACAGTGCAAACTTTTCTAGCACTAAAATAATATTTTCTCTGTTCATTAGTCATGTCTCCAGGCCCTTCTTATATTATGCTTGCTTTTCATTTTGAATTTTTATTCACACCAAAAATAGAAGACTTACTGATATTCAGACTAATGCATAATGGTAATAATTGTATAAATAATGTCAGTGCATTCGTAAGTGCATATTAGACTAGCCATTTGACATGTATTGGATGCATGACGTGATTTCTTTACTCTTGAACTTCGGCAAAAATTTAACATTTCCTCTACTTTGAGTTCAATTTCAAGCTACTTTTAGTCTATCAAATCTATCAAATCTTTAGTCTATCAAATGAGACCAAGAAACCAAGAATACAACCATAAATACCATATGAAAATACACTGCAACCAAAAACACAGTCGCAGTTTTGTTTCTCATTATGCACTTAATGCTGCAGGATTTTTTTTATACTGCACACACTGACCACTCAGACCCATTCTCTCGTATGTAGGCCTACCAGCTATCTCCTGCAAGATTGGAAACAGCTAGAATTTTGGCGAAGTGTTACCGACACTGGTTTCAAAGTCATAATGTTATGGGACTGACAGTGAAAGGGTTAATATATGCCATAATCCAGTGATAGAGTTGGAAGGTAATGTTAGTCATTTAGGTGAAGGGAGGCAGGGAGATTAGATCCAAGGAAGAGCAGCCTATCCTCTTAGTAACACACAGTATTTCATTGTTCCTAAAATAGTCAAATGGATGACAGTTTAACAGGCCTTAAGCAGATATTATCTGACCCAGATATATCTAGTGTTTACACTGGGTCCCTGTTTTCTGTTCATGATTCAAAGCTTTTTTTTATTGTCTGTCTTATACAGTTGATACTCGTTTAACACAGTTGTTACATTTTTAAAATAGTGTGTAAATGAAAGAAATTATGTTAATGAATTAAAGAACATGAGGTAAAAGTAGGGTTACATTCCTGGAACCACCAAAAATGCCAAAAAATTGACTTGAGTCTTATAATGTAAAAAATAATGCAATTGTCGTTGGATGTAGTGAGATGTGCATAATTAAAATATAATACATGTACATGTAGTTAAAAAGGTTATATGGAGAGCGATGGTGCGGCACTACTGAGCCAAGGTGGATGGCTGAGGTCTTTGAACCAATGTTGATGCAGAGTTAATATGAGGTAATAGCTGTATTGGAGTGCAGTATTAGGGTTAAAAACAGCAGATATTACCTGGATACCTCAGGGATATGTTTAAAAGAGAATATTCAAAATATAGTTGCTAGTAAAGGCAAATCAATTGATCAACAAAGAAAGAAAGGTATTAGAGGGCAACGAGTGACTAGCTCCCTTCAGGTTTACTATACAAATAGTAGGAGTCTAAGAAATAAGATAGATGAGCTAAGATTACTTGCAAGTGCAGGTAATATAGATATTATTGGTATAACAAAGACCTGGTTCAACCTAAAAGATAGAGAAATGCCTTCTGAATGCAACATACAGGGTTATAAACTATTCCACACTGATATTCAATTCAATTCAATTCAAAGTTTATTCTCTATAAGGATTACAATGCTGAGTTTACAGAAATTTGGTTATTGTGTGGTTTACATGTAGTAAAATTGTGATTACAGAGTGTACCACTAGAACGCTTAGCATGGCTAGGCATTTCGGGCAGACTTAGTTTTATTCTTAATTGTAAAATATTACAAATTATGAGGTAAGTTGGTATTATGGCTAAGTGACTAAATACTAGTTTGTGAGTTTAGCAATGTGAATGCTTTTGTTTTGGCACAGTACATAGTTTCAGTATTGGAGTATCACAGGATTCATTATTTTAAGATTGAGGTTAATATTTCTGTTTATGGTCAAATGAGTGAGTGAGTGTAAGTGTGAACCACCAGGTGGTATTCGTGTAGTTAGTTGACGGGGTGTATCAGGGAGATAAGATGTTTTCTAATGGTAGTTTTGAAGGTGATGAATGTGTCTGCAGTTCTAGAGTTCTCAGGTAGGGTATTCCAGATTTTAGGGCCTTTGACATACATTGAATTTTTGTAAAGGTTTAGTCGGACACGGGGAATGTCGTAGAGATGTTTGTGTCTGGTGTTATGCCTGTGGGTTCTGTTACAACTATCAAGAAAGCATTTTAGGTCAAGGTTGATATTAGAGTTTAAGGCCCTGTAGATGTAGATTGCACAGTAGTAAGTGTGGATGTACTGAACTGGGAGTAAGTTTAGGTCTATGAAGAGTGGGGGGGTGTGTTGCCAGGGATGGGATTTAGTGATTATTCTTACTGCAGCTTTTTGTTGGGTTATTATTGGCTTTAGGTGTGTTGCTGCAGTTGATCCCCAAGCACAGATAGCATAGGTGAGGTATGGATAAATAAGTGAGTGGTATAGTGTGAGAAGGGCATTTTGCGGCACGTAGTATCATATCTTGGAGAGGATCCCAACCGTTTTGGATACTTTTTTGGTTATATGCTGGATATGGGTGCTGAAATTCAGGTTGTTGTCAAGGTATAAGCCTAGGAATTTGCCCCCATTATTTCTGGTAATTAGAGTGTTGTCAATCTTAATGTTAATTTGTGCATCTCCTGCTCTGCTACCAAACATAATATAGTAGGTTTTGTCAGTGTTAAGCGTAAGTTTATTGGCTGTCATCCAAGTCAATATTTTAATCAGCTCCTCATTCACAATGGTGTTGAGGGTGGCAAGATTAGGGTGAGAGATGACATAAGTCATGTCATCAGCAAAGAGAATGGGTTTCAGGTGTTGGGATACGTTTGGAAGGTCATTGATGTATATGAGGAAGAGCAGGGGACCAAGGACACTTCCCTGCGGAACTCCAGTATCAAGTGGCCGTGTTGCTGATGCTGTGTCTTTAATGGTGACGTACTGATACCTATTAGTAATGTAAGATTTGAAATAAGCAAGCGCATGGCCTCTTATACCGTAATGATCAAGTTTGTGGAGTAGGATGTCGTGGTCTACTGTGTCAAAAGCTTTTCTTAGGTCAATAAAAATTCCTAGTGGATATTCCTTATTTTCCAATGCTGTGTAAAGCAGATCTAGCATTTTTATGATTGCATCATTAGTGCTTTTATTTTTCCTGAATCCAAATTGGCAGGGGTTGAGTATGTTTTGAGCCGTTGTAAATGAATACAGTCTCCTGTGCACGAGTTTCTCAAAGATTTTGGATAGCAATGGTAAGTTAGATATTGGCCTATAGTTGTTTAAGTCTGTAGGGTCACCACCTTTATGTACTGGTGTAACCCTTGCCATCTTGAGTAGTTTCGGGAAGGTGCTAGTCTCTAGTGACTTGTTAAAAAGTAATGAAATAGCATGCGAAAGGACATGGGCCGCTCGCTTGTACAGTAATGGTGGGACATGAGACAGATTCCCCGAGTTATTTTTAAGTGACTTTATAATCTCAGTGACTTCCGTGGGCTCAGTTGGTGCAAGATAGAAGGAATTAGGGAAATTCCCATCTAGGTAGTCCCCGGCATGGGCATTGGTATGTGGGATTTTACTGGCGAGATTAGATCCTATGGTTGAGAAGAAGTCATTTATCTTGTTAGCTGTGTCAGTGGGATGTAGTGGTGTTTCATTAGGTTTAGTTAGGGTCAACAGGAAGGGTGGTGCAGTGGCGATGTAGGTCAGAGATAATTTAAATTATTGTCTTAGACATGATATAAGATTAGAAACATCGAACACAGAATCTGTTTGGCTACAGTTTCTCGAGGGTCGTGACAAATTAATTTTGGATGTGATTTATAGACCCCCAAACCTTGATAGGGAGGGCAGTAAGCTGTTATGGGACGAAATTCATAAGGCTTCTAGATATGAAAATGTTGTGTTAATGGGAGATTTTAACTTTAGACAAATTGATTGGAACAATATGATAGGAAATCTTGAGTCTAGTGACTTTCTTGATGTGGTTCAGGATTGCTTTTTAGAACAGTTTGTGACAGAACCAACTAGAGGAAACAATCTGCTTGACTTGATTCTTGCCAACAAAGAATCATTAATTAATAATCTTGAGGTTAATGATGAGCTTGGGCAAAGTGATCACAAATCACTTAGTTACAATATATTATGGAATTACCCCGATAACTGCAATCAAATCTCTGTCCCAGACTTTTGCTTGGCTGATTTCATGAGACTGAAAAATTACTTGGGTGGGCTAAATTGGGATGTCCTGACTATGGGTCAGGTAGGTGATCTTGGTTGCCAATATGACATTTTTCAGAGCATAGCTCTAGCTGCCCAGACAACTTTTATTCCGAGTAGGGAAATTAGATCTAACAAAAATGATCCCAAATAGATGAATAATAGATTAAAACGTCT